CTTGGGCAAATCACTTCTCTCTGAGCCTCAGTTTCTTCATCCGTAAGGGAGTTGGACTCAGCTGAATCTCTGGTCTCAGCCACAACTCTCTGATACTCAGATTTCAGGGTGCCCCATCACCCTCATCTCCCTTCTCTCTTGAACCCTTCGCACTTTTGTGTGGAGGCAGCAATGTCTGCTCCCCACCGTGCTGAACTGTCCAATCTCCATGGTGCTGAACTGTCCGTTATTGATACCTCAGAGGAGATGACGTTACCCAAAGCCCCCCAACCTCCACTCCCCCCCAAGCTGGAGCCTCTATTTAACAAACAGGTCTCCTGAACACAAGCTGACAGGCCTCAGGACAGATTTATAAGGCTTGATGCTTATTATTAGCCTGTAATTGTAGTTGTTCTAACACCTAATAAGCCTTGGTCGGAAAAACAAAGGCAGGTTAATTTGTGATTTCCTCTCCTCATTCAGAGGCAAATTAAGTGTCAAGCAGCTAATACAGAACATCTTTCATTTTATGAGGTTTTAATTTAATTCTGCACCCTGGTGTTGATGCCTTAATGCCGGGTGGTTTATCTAAGGAGAGGAGAGATTTATAAGCCCCTTTCCATGGAATCCTTAATGATAGGATATGAAAGCATAATTACAACGGGCCCTGAGTCCTGCTGCCCTCTGCTAATCTGTCAGCATTTCCATCATTCACACAAAAGATGCCTCATTGGGGCTTGGAAGCCAGTTGTTCCAGTCGGCTCCAGGGGAAAAAAAAAGTAGCTGGCACAACATAAGTCGGGACCCACTCCCCCAAACAGCAAAACTGCCCACCATGTGCTCGGACCTGGAAGCCCCACGCTGGAGCTTAAACACCTTCCTGGCCTCAGCTGATGTGGCCCTCACTCTGTGCCAGACTGAGAACAGACTTTTCGAAATAAGGCATCCAAGAATTCCAGGTGTGCAGGCAGCCCGTCTGCTTCACTAGGCATCATTTCCATCACTTATTAAAGAACTAGAGTTTCCAGTCAGGGCCTTGTTGGCTAGAGCCAGGCCCTGGGGATTTTCTGGTGTGAAATCATATCCTTCCATCACCGAAGGCTGTGGGCTGGCAACAGGCATCTCACTCCATGGGTGCCCAAGTAGCCTCCTGAGAGGGAGTATGCAATGATGGAAAGGGCACTGGACTTGGAGTCAAGAAGCCTTGGGTTCAACTACTATCCTTCTACACATTCTCTAGCAGTGTGATCCTGGGCTCCTCACTTAGTGTCTCTGTGCCTCAGTTTCCTCATCTATAAAACAAGGAAGATTGAACTCGATGGCTTCTGAGGTCTCTTATAGATCAAGATTTATGATCCAATGCCTAATCCAGCTCAGGTCAAAATGAAAATGCCTGTGCTGAGGAGGAGACCTTCAGACAAACAAGTCAACACCAGTACTACTGACCCCCTTAATGCTTCTGCTGGATCACCCACATGTGTCTGTATAGTACCACCTCATCCGGTTCTCCCAATAATCAGGTGAACTGGGGAGCAGGGCACACCAAGGTGCCTCAACTGTCAGCTGAGCAAATTCAGGCAGAGGAGTGTAGTGAGTAGTCTAAGGTCTAATGAATAACTGAAAGGATCAGAGCTGGAATCAAAACTCTTATTGTTATTCTGATACTTTTTTTCCCTACCTGAATTTTGAGAGAGAGAGAGAGAGAGAGAGAGAGAGAGAGAGAGAGAGAGAGAGAGAGAGAGAAGAGGAAGGGAGGGGAGAGGAGAGGGAAAAGAAAGAGAGAAGAGAATGGGAGATAAGAGAGAGATGGATTGATGGATGATAAACTGATACATCTGAATATAAATGTAGATACACACACATTGGGAGGGGGCATGTTGAATAGGATAGAAGATGAAATTTGAAATCAGGGAGACCTGGGTGTGAATCCCACCTCTATTCCATTCTAGAGAAGTTACTTCTTTTTTTCACTGAGACTCAGTTTTCTCAACTGTAAAATGAGGGGGTTGGATTTGATGACCTCTCAGGTCCCCATCCACCTTTTCATCTATGATCTGATGAATCAGCTCCCTGGAAACAATTCAGTACCTTACAAAGTGGCTTAGAACCCTCACTATTATCATCATATCAAACTATTATCATCATATCATCATCAATGCAACATCTATCAAATAAGCCCCCTCCTCTCCTCTGACACTGCCACCTCCTGGTACAGACCCTTCTTTTTTTACAGATCATTTCATGCCTGGACCACTGCAATAGCTGCTGTTTGGTTTCCCTTCCTCAGGTCTTCCCATTCCAGTTCATTTTCCATTCAGCCACTAAAGGGATTTTCCTAAAACTGAAATCTGATCATGTCACCCATCCCCTACTCCCCCTCCACTTTCCCCCACCCTCACACTCAATAAACTCCAGTGGCTCCCTATCACCTTCAAGAGTAAATACAAAATACTCTGCTTGACATTCAAAGCCCTTCATAACCTCGCCCCTCCTTCTTTTCCAGTCGTCTTACACCTTACTCTCCACCATGTATTCTTCAATCCAGTGGCACTGGCCTCCTGACTATGCCATGCACAAATACTCCATCGCTCAGATCTGGGCATTTTCTCTGGCTGTCCTCCAAGCCTGGAAAGCTCTCCATCTTTCATTCTGCCTACCGACCTCTCTACTTTCCTTTGAGTTTCAGTAAAAATCCCTTCTTTTACCGGAAGCTTTCCTCAACTCCTCTTAATGCTAGTTCCTACTCTGTGCCAAGTGCTTTGCAGGGACTGGCCACACAAAGGTTGAAATGAAACAATTCCTGCCCTCACAGAGCTCACATTCTATTGTAGAGAGACATGAACCCATATGAGTAGATACAGTTCTCTGAACCCCAACCACACTTCCTGTGTGGCCTGAGAAACACAATGGCAGCAAACTGTGGGAGAAACACCCTCTGGCCATCCTAAAGGCAGCTCCCGGGGTGGGATGGGGGTGAGGGTGGGTATGTACAAACAGCCTCCTTCTAACCCACTGGGGAAGGAGTCCCCTAAACTCGGTTGTAGTAGAACTAACATTAGCATCTCCTTTCAAGGAGGGTACTCAAAACAAGAACGCAAATACGAAGCTGAACTTTTTAATACGAAGCTTAACTTTTTAAACAGTTTATTTTGTCAATGGACATTTTTTAAAACAGTCTTTAAAGACTTTGAAGATACAGGCCAGGCCAACAAATCCTGCCAGCCAGACAAATGCTTAGAGGCTGGAACCCTTGCTTCTACTCAGACAGCCTTTGCTCCAAACATATGTTGATGTAGTTGTCTTGAACACCAACAAAGGCTTATGCTGCACATTGGCAAAGAACAAAAGATTTTTCTCCTCAATTCCTATTGCCTTGAAGTAAATAACAGACTGCCGTGGCCCAATGGGAATTATGAGAGTCTACTCTTTCCACAATCAAGTTTTTAATATTTCAATAAGATCATCAAAAAAAAATCCAAGAGCCCTTCTTCCACCCAACACATCACACGCTCAAAATCTATGTGAAAATATATCCAAGGGCTGATTGAAGCCAGAGCTTCCACAGTCAGCATTGGGCATGTCACTGACTGTGCCCTGCCTAAATCCAGTATTTTGGTCTCTAAGGAAGAGACGCTCCCCGTGTACCAGGAGATACATTCTTGGCTGAGAATAGAATTGTGGTCTCATCCGCACTGTAAAAACTCTGTGGAATGATGGACTAAATGACATGTCATGTTTTGACCTTAATTTGGAATTTCCTTCCCTTTGTATAGAAGACCTCTTTGGAGCTAAATGTATTTTTAGTTTGCTTCCGAACCCTATAAATGCTTCCTCATGTATCAGGGGCCTTCTGGAGGATAAATCACAAATTCCTGGTCCCTCTCTATAAATACCCACTTTTCCTTAATGCTCATGGGAGCTAGCCACACAGATTTATTACCTCCCTCCAGGCAAATTTGCTCTGAAATTACAATCCTGTAATGGGAGATGGCTCCAGAAGGGAAAAAAGGCAGTGGGTAAAATATTATGTGTGTACTTGGGCATGTAGTTAGGATTGTTAATATCAATTAATTCTGTTCACAGAGGAGGACTTGTTTTAAAACAACTTCATTTTTCTTCCGCCCATATGTAATTATGCAGCTGTAACTAATAGTCAGGGAGATGTAATCTACCATCGAAATAACTGGCACAATTCTTCAAAGTATTTTGTGGGCTCCTCTCCTTTTATTGTCTCAAGATGGTGGATGTTTATTAGATATGATTAAATACACAAAGCAAGTCTTTTAGCAAATGAGTGAACCTTCTTTTCTCCTTCCCAATGAGTCCTGCCCCTTCTAGCTCCCTAAGGTTATGACAGCTTTTGGTCAGGATTATCAAAGATATCATTTTATTTTGTCACCCTCCAATTCCTTTATCCTCCCTTAACCCAAGTAAGATAATATTTATTTCCCCTTTTATTCCTCCTTTGCTAATGTATGTTATCACCTCTATTCTTTCCTTTTATCGTTGTGTAAACCACAGGCTCTATCTCATTTACCATTTTGTTTGGGTGACATCCCCATCAATCACACCAGCCTGGTATATGCACAATGGGGAATATGAAAATTTAGCATAAAAATGTGATTACATTGCATAGCAATCCTGAGGAGAGGGCTTGTGTTTGCCCAAGTTTTCACAAAGGAGAATTCCAGACAAAGTCCATATTTTGTCCTGGGCTCTTTTTGCAGGCTGGCTCCTCTTAAAATTTAGTAGAGAGTAGCAGCTTAGGGAATACATGTCGGTGGAATATATAGGTAACACTTGCTGGCTACCTATTATCCCGGTCATTCCAAAGGAGACAGCGGGGCTCTCTGCTCCAGTGACTCCTCTAGCAGATAAACTCACTGCCTTTCAAAAGTAAATCTTTCCCTTCTATTAGTCCTTCTGAGCTTCCAGCATGTTCCGCAGAGAACCAAGAATATGTGTCTTGAGTCATCGGAAGTAGGAAACTCATCTCTTTAGTGTGCAAAGCAGTTACTTACACGTGCAGTGGAGGGATGGGAGACGGGTCATAATGGTAACGTCCCTCGTGATGTCTCGCATCGATCGGGACTGGAGGGTGGAATGCTGGGAAAAGATGAGGAGGGTCTGAAAAAGAAACAAGGTTTTCAAGACTTTAAAAGGATTCAATTTGGCAAACATCCACCCTGACTATCGAACACACACACACACACACACACACACACACACACACACACACACACCCTTTTCCTGCTAAGTCTGTGAAACTTAATTCCACCCAAAATATGAAATTGTTGGGGTTTATGTGATACAATTTTGTCCTCAAACTTTGAAGAAACTCTTTAATGGTAACAGCAAATTTGGAAAATCTTGATGAAAGAATGACTGAGCCACTGTTGTGCTTGGCAAAGAAAGGGAGACAGAATGAAATGAAGAAAAAAAAATCTCCAGGAAAACTGTACAAGAGATCTGTGTCTTCAATACCTCCAAATATAAGGAGACTAAAGAGTCGAATCTGGTCCTCCCACCGAGCCCTTTTCCCGGATCCACCAAGGGGCACTGGTAGGAGTACTGAAAGGAAGGAAAAGGAAGTAGTCACAAATGCAAAAGGAATGAATACAGACCTTTTGATTCATTTATTTGAGAAAAATCAAAAGGTTAACTGAATTTTTATGACCTAATGTCAAACGAGACAAGGAACATGTTCTCATATTTTTCTGTTTAAGAGTCCTTTGATGGATTCGAGATGGTTTCACTAGATCGGATTACAACCGCTTTATACCTGCTCTGGCTTATTCCAGCCTTCCCAGAAAGCCTGGAGAGAAGATCAGTCACCAAGAGGCTTTCCCTGGGTTCTTGTAAAGTTTCATAGACACCAGGACAGCACTCAGGATATATATCATGGTTCATCCATTCTCATGCAGAGACTAGCCCGCCATTGTTTCTGTTCACATGTCCCAGCTATTGCTCTTCTATATACCTATCATCCAATGCCCTCCTCCAAACTTCTTGCTTAAAGTCATTTTAGGAACAACTCTTCAGGAATTTCCTTTGGTTAATGGGCTAAAATAACAAAAAATGATCACCACAATTTGTCTGGGGCCCAAAGCCTTGTGACACAATTCAGTCATCTACATTATTCTCAAACCTTGGTCCCAGATGATTCTGGACATTTCCTCAAATCAAAACCACTCTCTCAATAAAGATGTTTGCCACCACTCTGGCCCTCAGGCAAGAATCCCGGGACCTAAAGGCCATTTCCAAAGAGGAGTCTCTGTCTTCTGAGCTGAAGACTTTCAAGGAAGTTAATACTCATCTGATTAAGCTATAGTTAGGTTTTTAAAAAGACAAACATAATTGATAGTCAGACTTCATGCAGAAATTCAAAGCCAGACAGGTCAACATAATCTTGAGGGAAGGGGGGAGAGGCAGAGAGATATAGTGATAAGAGTATGGGACTTAGAATCAGAAGACATGGGTTCAAATCCAGTTTCTGGATTTAGTAGGATGTGGCAGCTTTCTGGTCATGACTATTCATTACCTATGTGACCTTAGGCAAGTCATTTAATCTCCAGAGGCCTCAGTTTCCTCATTAGTAAAATTAAGGAAGGGGAATCAATGCCGAATGATGTCTCTCCCAGTGCTAGATCCTATGAACTCTCAATCTGGTGCCAGAGAATCCATTTTTCAATCTTGGCTCAGTTACTTACCATCTCTGTGACCTTGGGCAAATGACCTAATTTCTCAGGCTCTCAGTTTCCTCATCTGAAAAATGAGGAGGTTAGAGTAGCTAATCACTAAGAAACCTTCCAAATAGAAATCAATGACCATATGAATCTGGAAAGAAGAGTGAGGAAAACAGTAAGTGCGATGACAAAAAGCTACCTTATGATGAATTCCCTAGCAAACTTCAGGACCCACCACCAATCCCTAGTTTTCACACCTAAAAGGATTTGAGTCACAGCAAGAAGAGTGCTTTGCCTGGCCAGCTGAGTCATTGCTGGGCCTCTTACCTATCCCAGGAGGCATTCAGAGACACCACGGGGAATGATGTACAGAGACAGACCATGGTGCACAAGGGCAGAGGATGGCATCCAAGGCTGCCTTAGCACATTTTCAGGAAAAGTCCACGACCCTGCTGGGATTCTCCCCTATGCAGCCAGTGGGCACTGTGGCCTGAGGAACCACAGCAGAAAGAGGGAGACAGGAAGGGGAGCAAAGCTAAGCTAAGGCACCAGTGATTGGCTCCGATGATGTCTTACTTAAAGGTCGTGCTGGCGGCTAAGGTAATACTGAAAATGCTGGGGTGGGGATGTTTCCAGTCACCTTCAACATTCTGTCCTCTGACAGTGCACAGTCACCTTCTGCTCCTTCTGCCTTACCCATTTGGATTTATGTTTACTATAACATACACCCCTCTTTAAGAAAGAAGTGGTACAGAGCAAAGCAAGATCTAAACTTGGAGTCAGGACCAACTGGCTTCTAATTCTGACTCTTAGATTCATTAGTTAGGAGCTGCTATGGTCTGATCAGCCCTAGTCGGACAACACAGTGATGTCATTTTGGTCCTCTTTGACGACAACAATACGGTATGAGGCAAGTAAGCTATCCTCTCTGACTCTTTAAATTGGACACAGTACTAGCACCTACCACCCAAAGGGATGGTAAGAATCAAGTGAGATGCTGTGTATAAAGGGCTCAAAGGGTCATTGAAACAGTAACCGCTACTGTTGTCATGATAGAATTCAGAAAAAAAGAGCCCTGGGACAAGTCATCAACCTGTCAAGTGCTTTGTGTGTTGAACATTCTGGGGAGATGAAAGGACAGTTTGCACAAACTTATTAGGTCACAAACTCATAGCCAGTTGGCTAACAGAAAGCCTCTTTAGGGAAACCTAAAAGAGCAGACAGGACAGCGGAGGGCAAATAGAAAAGAAAATATTTTTAAATGCCTATATGTACCAAGCACCATGCTAAGGAATGAAAAGTCAGATAGCCCTTCAAGAAGCTCACATTTTAATTGGAGGAGACAAGGTATATGGGAGAGACAGAAGCAGGGCCCATGGCAAGACCCAGATGTCCCTAGAATTCATCAGCAGAGAGGATGGCACTGGGTATGGGTAGCCATATACACCCCACAAGCAGTATCCTGGAAGGACCCAGGGACCACAACAAATGGGAAGGGGGAATCTGGGGAGATCGGAGCAAAAGACAATTTGAGAGGTTTGGGGCAAAATGTCCTGGGCAATCCAGTAGTCTCCAACACTTAGTGCCCAGGGGTAGGAATCTAGGAAGGTGGAGAGTCAGCCTGGGACCACTGGGGAGAGGATTACACGTACTTCTTCCTGTGCTTGCATGAGGTTAATTTCTCCTACCAGGTCACTGTATCTTGAAATATTTTAACCTTATGCTATTTGGAAATTATGAGTATTTAGTATGAAAAATATTTTAAGGTGTTCTTAATAAATTTTTATGAATCAATGTTATTGCCAGGTAGTCACAGGCAACAGTTGAATCAATGCTCCAGCCTTCATAGAATTTATTTGTTGAGTTTCCAAGAATAACTTGCATTTATAGTGCAGGGATTTGTCATCTTTTAGTTTATAAAAGATAGTGAGCTTCTGGAATGTAATTCTAATCATCTGATCATGTCTTTCCATTTTTATAAGTAAAATTTTCTAGCTAAATTTTTGCAGCCTGTAGTGACATTCGGCACAGTTCCTCTCATTTTATTATGTAACTGTCATTGATCAGTATGTCTGGGCTCCTTAAGGATAAGCTTTCTTTAATATTTGGTGGCAACGGCCAAATCCCAAATTCCAAACAGATGACCCTCTACATGTGTGAACAGTTTACATGTCACAGTCATTTCTTGTATTTCTTTGCTGACACATTAATACTTGAGTTTATGAAGATGTTGCAAAGCAAGCCACCTTTTGATTCTACTCTGAGGCCATAACTATGTGTATGACTCCACATGGAGATAAACCACTTTTGTCTACATTAGACAAATGGATGGTGTATACTTTTCAGCACCTACTGTGGTACTATGAAGGAAGGTAAGGTCTCTTTGCTCCAGAATTATTTCTGTATTTTCATCCTGATTAGTGTATTGTTTGAAAGACTCTACCTCTCCTTAGTTTCTTTTTTCATGGGGAAGTGTTGATTTTATGGCTGCCTTGGTGCGATGAACCCAGTTTCATTAACACAGTATGATAGGACTTCGTTTGGACACTTTCTAGACTGTTGTCTATTTTCCTGTGCCAAAAGCATACATTAAGACCGATGCTTAGAAGGTACCAATTGATCTAAATTTGCTTTTTCTGATAAGTTTTGACTTCTGAATACCAGCCAGCCTCAATACACACAATCTCGGCTTGCTCTTCACGAGCCTCATGCTCATTGTCTTGTTTGAAGAAGACCAAGGCATTGGGAGATATCACCTTCATCCACTAATTCAAGTTGACCTCCAGACTCAAACTCAAACATTTCTGTTTCTTTTCTTCCTTTGAGCACAGAAAACCTTTAACTTATTGAATCTAAATAGCATTTTGCTATCACTGGATAAAATCTCCATGAGATGAATTCTAGTCCTTTTCCTTCTGAGATTATTTTCCATCTACTTTCTCTATATCTTATATGAATTTATTTACATGTCATCTCCCCATTAGAATGTACATTCCTTAGGGGCAGGCACTGGGTTTTTTGCCCTTCTTTGCATCCTCACCACTTAGCACTTAGACTGGCATGAAATAAACACTCAATAAATGCATATTGTTAATGAATTTTTCAAAGTTCTATTAACTTATGCCATCCATGCACAAACAATTACTACAAAGTTTTCTTAAGACTCCTTCTTTGTCTTAAAAGCTAGATTCCATTCTATTCAGGGACTAGGAAGAGCCATCACAAGTTTAAGGTGTCTTTTTGGAAAATGCCACTTCCATATCAATTGTCCTTGACCTCATTGCACTGGTAACATATTTTAAACAGAGAATAATTTTCCATGTTAACGTCAGCTTAGACTAGCATCCTCATCATGCTAGGATTTCTCTTATCATTTGCAGCGTATTGATTAAGCCACTAATGCAGAACCCAGTCAAGGCTTTGTGATCATTAATCGAAGTG